GATTCCCAAATCCCAGAAGCTCACTTGCTGCTTCCCTTCCCCCAGCTTCCCCAATAATTTTTTTTTTCCCCCCCATTCTTGTTGCCCTCAGTTAAATTATGGCCTGTTATTCCCATGACCTTGTGCTTCACTCTCCCTTTGTTCCATTGATTCCCGCTGGCAAGGGCCGGGTGCCGATGCGCTGCCGGATTCCACACTCTGTGAGCAGGGGCTGCCTTTGTTGGGAGCAGCTCTGGGACTGCTGGGCCAGCTCCTGACAAAGACGAGCCCATGGCTGCGGGATTGAGGCTCCAGGGTCCCCCCAAACCTGCCTGGTTCGGCACAGGGACGGGCTGAGCAGCTGGGATGGAGCTCCGGAGTTGTCTGAGCGGAGAAGCTCCTCTGGTGGGAGCCTGGTTGTGCCAGAGGGAAGGGGAGAGCTGAGTAAGTGGAGATGCTGCCAAGACATTTCAGGCTGGTCAGTGGGGATTGTCATCTTCAGGGTTTAAGTTTGATGAGGGAGTTAAGAGAGAGGGAGGATGTTTTGTTCCTCTTAAAATAATGGGAAAGGAGGCGGAAAAAGGACTCTGCTCTGGTTAGATGTTGGCTATGTGAGCCTGGGTGATTTCCCCTGTTAGTTGGCTCAGTTCTGTGTTGACTCAGGGCTTCTGGGTCCAAGAAGCTTTCAGAGCAAACCCAGGGCTATGGATAGGGAGCATGAGATAGGTCTTGATCTCTTCCCCTCGTGCTGGAGCATGAACACAGTGCAGAAGAATTTGGTGCAGTCCCTCAGCTGTAATTGGGACTCTCTGTAGCCCACCCATTTAGCAACACTGGAGGGGCAGAAATGTTGTGACCACCTCATTCCTGTCCCTTCTCCAGGTGAATTCCTGTGCCCAGTCGCTGTTCTCACCATGTGTGTCCTTGGTGCATCTCCTCTGCTGCAGATTCCCATGTAAGGAGTGGAGATAAAGTCCCTCTGTCTTTGGGGAAACCTAGAGATAGATTTTCTAATCTTCCCAGACTTAGGCTCCCAAGTCCTCTCATCAAAGCTGATAAGGAGGCTTGGGATTCTTAGATGTGTTGGTGAAGATGACTCTTAAGCCACCCAGCTCTGCTGAGTGCTGGGAGGCTGAGGATTAGAGGCAGTGCAGGAGACAAAATAAACCCCACCTAACCTGGCTTCCACAAAAGCTGGGTTTATGGTGCCATGCCCACATCCTTTCTCCTTATGGTGCAAAGCTGTTGGGTGATCCCTGTTTGTGGGGACAGCACTGTCCTCCTCCAGCTCACCTGCTTTCCAGGCCTGTCTCTGTTCATGCTTCAGTGTAGGAGGTGAGTGCTGAGAGAGAGGGGAAAAATCCACTTTGATTTCGAGATCTTTGGGGAAAATATTTGACTTTGTTCCCGAAAAACCTCCCTCTGGATCACTTTCTGTACTGCCTTGCCAGGCCAGCAGGAGCCTTGGAGGTAAATGTGGGGTCTGGGGACCTGTGTGGGTGGGGGGTTTTGTGGTCAGGGCTGTGCTGCACTGGTGGGCAGGGAGTGATCAGTATTCTTGGGGCTTTCCCCCAGCCCCCCTTCCTTGTGTTATTGCCTGGCCCAGCTTCATAACATTCCAGTTCTACTGATAATGTCTTTCTTTCTCAGCTTTGATATTAAAAACTGCCCTGATTTGGCTCCCTTTCAGCTGAAATGCTTTGCAGAAGGCAGGAGAGAAGAGGCAAAAGCAGGAATTGGGGGAATAAAAAAAACCAAAGCCCCCTTCCCCCACTCATCCCTCCCCACCCTTTAGGGTGAAGTGCTGCCCTTTGCAGGTGCATGGGCTGAGCAAACAGCTGTCCTGGGGCTCTGTGGTCCATCAGTAGCAATGTACCTGATGCACAACCTGTCTCTGTGAGGGTGGTGAGACATCCAGGAGCTGCACTGCCAGCTCATTTGCAAAACAGATTTGGTTCTGCTGCTGCTGCTGCTGCAAAGTCAGGGGGAGATGGACTGTGGCTGCTCCCACCCCAGTGTCCTGGCTCTTTGTGTGAGCGCAGGGAAGGGTTGGATGAGTGGCACGTGGAGATAAAGGGATGAATTTAAGAGTGCAGGGCCCTGTAAAAGGGGCGTGTGTTTGGCAGGTGTCAGTGGTGTGGCAAAGCTGGGCACGTGGGTTAAGTTGTGAAGAGGAAAGGAAACACAAACACGTCGCTGTTGAGGTTGTACCCCGGAAACTGTGAGTTAACTAAATAATTAATGAAACTGGGACCTGCCTCTGCCCTGCTTTGCAGCTAAGGAAGAAAAGCAAAGATGGGGTATGACTTCTTAAAACACTGGGCTGGAACTCAGAAGGTTGCTGTTCAGTCTTGTGCTCTCCTCATGACTCGGTAAATTTGGGGTGGGATGTTAGATCTTTGTGCCTCCGTACTGGTTGCTGATGGTAACTGTTCCCTTTTCCTTGCTTATTGTGTCCTGTTGATTTAGTCCCCACACTTCTGGGGCCAGGGGCATCTCTGCCACATTGCAGGGCTTTGCCTTAAATGAAAAAGAAAAATAATAAAATGGAAAAGAGGAAATGTTTCATTCTGTGATGGAACTGACTGCCAAAAACCTGCTGGGGGGCAGCCCAAATAGGGACTCAGCGCCCGGGATTTGGGGCTGTGCTTTACAAGGTGAACCCGAGATGCTGGAAGGATCATCCTGGGGATTAAATCACTAATGTGGGATCCCTCTGGAGGACCAAGCCAGGGCCAGGACACCTGAGACCTCTCCCCGTGGTGGGATGTCACACCTCCCTGCGTGCCCAGAAGTGTGGGGGGGTTCTGGAGGCTGGGGGAGCACAGGTCTGAGGGAGTTGGTGCTGTTTCAGAGTTCCTGCTTGATCTTGGCCTTCCCCTGCACCAGTGCAGCTGCCTGGGGGGGAGATGGGGCTTGCAGCCTGTCCTGCTGACGTGTGTGGGAGCAGTGGGAATAGCAGTGGGAATAGCAGGGCACGGCGCGAGTCGGAGCGAGCGTCTGCTGGCAGATGGGCCCGGGGGTGGGAGTGGAACAGCGGGAGGGAAGCAGGGATGGGGGGTAATGAGGTGCCTTGGCAGAGCTGTGAAACCAAGGAATCTTCACTGCTCACATTCCAACTGCTGTCACATGGAACCGGTGCTTCTGTCACCAGTTCTTTTTCCATGGAGTCTCTTCCTGCCTTAAAAAAAAAGCCCTCGTTGGGCTTTGCTGCCTCCTGGCCCCGGGGCTGGGAGGGGCGAGCGGAGCAACGGGGCTTCTCGCTGTTCCAAAGCCACAAATCCTGGATGAGAACACTTCTGGGGAGGATATGTGAACTTGGCCTCCAGCGCTGTGAGGGTTTGCAGCATCAGGCTATAACGTTTCCAGGAAAATCAGCATGAAGAATGAAGCGTTCCGTGGGGAGGGAGCTGGTGCCTCTGTTTGTGCTCTGTGGCCAGGTACTTCCGAGCTCTGGTGCTGCCTTGGCAAGCTGAGACCGTCCGTGGCTTTGCAGGAGTTTGTGCAAAGGGGAAACTGAGGCAGGAGGATTGATAAAATTCAAATGGAAAGACTGGCTCAACACTTGGGATGTGAAGTGCTGAGAGAACTTCAGTGCCACCACTGGCTGACTCTGGCCTTTCCCATCTGCTTTTCAGTTGCCACTGTTGTGTTTTCCCTTTGCTCTTGGTTCTGGATGGTCTCAAGGCTCTGCAGTCGTCTCTTGAGTGCCAGTTCTGTTTAGGGGCTGGGTGACAGGGTCATGGCAAGGTGAGGTCGGAGGCAGTCTGTGCTCCTTAAAAGCCTGAAATGCCACTTGGAACTTTGCAGAGCTCCTGGATTGCTCCTGGGATAGAGGAGGGCTGGTAGGGCTGCCCTGGGCACAGTGTCTGGCTGCTCTCTGCACTCAGCTTGTGGCAGCCACAGACCTGTGCCCTGGATCTCTTGATAAATCCAGTGCCAAGGCAGGAACCTGGGCTGCTCAGCTGAATTCCAAGTGATGGGGAGTGATTCTGAGTGCGAGGGACAGTTGCTTGGCTGAAAACGTCCCCTGGAACAGAAATAATGTCGTTGTTGTTATAAATAGGACCGAGGGGGGTTTGTAACCTTCCCTAACCCACACATTTTGGGCAGATTGCAGCAGCTTTGCATGTGTGTGGATGCACAGGCAGATACAACCTATTCTCACTCAAATATGGTGCTTGTTTGTGAGATGGTGTTTTTTTTTCCCTTTTAAGATGCTGCATCTTTAACAAGCCCTTGATAGATGAGAATTTGATGCTTGCAGTGACAAACAGGCTCTTCCTTCCTGCCCATATGCACCATCATGCTTTCAGTTTCCCCCAGCGTTATTATGGGAGGATATTGATTTTAAATCTGGTCGGGGATGCTGTAATTGTATATTAGATATTTTCTGTTGGTTTGTAGGGCTGCAGTAATGCAAAAGGCTTGAGTGTTTCCGTACAATCCAGAGGGGGAAGATTGCTAAGGACCTTGAGGTTTTGAAGGAGGAGGGGGGGGAGGGAGGGGGAGAGACAGAGAGAGAGAGAGAGGAGAGAGAGAGAGAGAGAGAGAGATACTGTGGTAGGAAGATTCAGAGATCTGTTGTGCTTTTTCTTTTTTTTTTTTTTTTGTGTTGTTTTTTTCCTCCCCTTCCTTTCCCCCAGTTGCTTTGCATCAGGGCATGAAAGGAGTGGAAACACCGGGGGGACAAAAGGCACCAGAACAAATGATGAAACTCAGTAAGGAAATCAACTGGATTCAGAATTTATAGCTTTAAAACGTTGCATTGATCAGTGTGTGAATAGTCATTATGTGCTTTTGGGCTGCGTGATTAGGAAAGCAGATCAAGGCTCTCAAGATGATGATTTTTCTTACTTTCATTTTTTTTTCCCCCTCTGCTTGTAATATATGTGTGTGTGTGTGTGTGCCTGTGTGTGTGTGAGAGAGAGAAGCATAAATACCAAAGTCTCTCTGGTCGCTTCTGCAAAGAGGAAAGTACAACCTTGTCTTGATACTCAGGTTTCTCATCTCTCTTCTAGATGAAATTTTAGGCAAGAGAAGAGTATGTTCTCCCAACAGCAGCAGTGAGTGTCCTTTAGAAAGCAAGAAAGCCAGAAGTGAGTCCCCAAAGGGTAAGTGCTGCTTCTCCCTCCCTCCCCCATCCCCTTCCCCTTTCTTCTCCTTTCCTAAGAGTGGAACTTAATTGAAATTAAGGAGCTGGGGGGGGGGGAGGGAGGTTTGCAAGAGGGTTTGCCGGTGTGGGAGCCGTGTCTGGCACTGAGGGTGCATGAGGGAGGCGACCAGGGCCTCCTCTGGCTTTCTTTATCTCCTCGGGGGGTGGGGGGGAGGCTCGCGTTGTGAGCCTCTTAATTAGAATAATTGCTTTACGGTTTAAAAAAAAAACAAACAAAAACCAACAAAAAAACGAGCCGCAGCCCTTGAGGTGGATTTTTAGGGGTGTTTCCACTTTTTTCGGGCAGAATGTCTTGATTACATGTTTAATATAAAGAGAGACACGCAGGCTTATCGTGCTGGCATCTGTTCCTTTAAAGGGAAAAAAAAAAAAAAAGAAGAAGCCTGTCAGGGAGAATAGGGCTGCCTAGTTCTCTCTTATGCATTTATGGCTCTGTTCCTATAGAGATGGAATCTGCAGAAGGTTTCTCTACTTAGGGGTTTATTTTTATTTTTTTTTAATCTCTTGGTTTGTCTTCGGGTTCTTTTCCTGTGAACGGGATTTTTAAACTTTCTTTAGGGCTGGCAAAGTGGGGTGGGTAATGGAGCCTGCAGTTAATGAGTTTGTCTCCAGGTTGGGTAAATGAGGTTTTGCAGGCCGTTTACTCAAAGGCTTTGTTGTTAAGTTCAAACTAATTAGCTGTCAGTAATACCCGTGTAATCACTGTGTCTAACCTGCACTCTTTGCCACTTTAAAGAAAAAAAACCAACTAAAAGCAGATCCTATGGGTTTGGAGTTCAGCTGAGACTCTCTAAGGGGTATATCCTCAATAACCCATCCAGGGAATTTCAGAAGGGACTTTTTTGCAGCAGTTTGTCCTAAAGCTTTCTTAAACTACGTGCTTTATATTATGCTTTAGAAAGATATATTGTAGGGACCTGTTCTGCATCCTGATTTCACAGAATGTTCCTGTATATTGTTTCTGGTCCCCAAATTATGATCTGAAGGCAGCATACTCTGAATGCTGGTGTCACTTAATAGAATATTGCCAACATCACCTGAGAACACACTAAATCTTCTCTTTCATGTAACCCTCTCCTGCCTGTTAACTCCTTTATACCAGTAGAAGTGCCTTAGATTTTACTGGGAACCATTGATACTGCTGCTCTTTATCTGTTTTCCTTGATTTGCTTTCATCTGCCCTATTCCTGTTATCCTGGAAATGTTTCTAGTGGATGTGCAGGAAAATTCCAGCAGGATGCTTCTGTAGATTCTGAAACATGTTTGTTATATGAGACATGGGACTCCTGTAACACACTTGACACTTTGCTGTTTCTGCTGCATTTGTACCCTTTATAATTCCAAGGTATCAGAATCCAGGTAACGGCAACCTGTGTGGCCTGGCTGAGAATGGGCTAAACTTTAAGCAAGCTGTCTGAAACCAAACTGTTGCATTTGGATTCATCCCAGTAAAGTGGCTGAACTGGCACAAGTGGATTGGTTTTGCCATGGGAGCAGCAGGGTCAAATGATCTCATTCCATTTCTTTCCTCTGGCCTTCCCACCGTTTTTGTTTTCTGGGGTGGGCTGAGGGCAGTGTGAGGCAGGTGAGGAACCCTTGGCTTTGCAGGATGCCCTTGGGATCTAAATCGTGCTCCTTAGCTCCCAGTGACTGGGGGGATTCCCTTCCAGGGGTTCCCAGGAAGCCCTGGATAAAGAAAAGTTTTGTTTTCTGCTCCTACTTTTCTTCCTCGGAAATCCTTCCCTGCCCTTTGAAAGAGATGAGACAGAATGGAAATTTGGAGCTGGGCCTTTTAGTGATCTCCCATGTGACCTGTTTTTTTTATTAGATCTTTGGAGAGCCCCTGTTCCCTCCAGTGCTGTGCAGGAATTTAAGCCTGGGCTGTGCTGATGCTGGAATACCATTGGAATAGTGAGGGGCCGAGACTTCTGTGCTTTGGGGGTCTTTGTCTCCCCACTCCCTGCTATGGAAAGGGGGTAAAAGGAGGGGCTGCAGCAAGTGTTGCTGTCTTAAGGCCCAGACAGTGACAGCACCTCACAGCTGAGAACTCCCAGGAGCCTTCCTGTCCTGCTGTCAGTCAGGCAGTGCTCCCGTGTCACGGGTGCCATGGAGGGAAACAATCCCTGTGTTCCCAGCTCTGGCTGGAAACGGAACGATCCACGCTGTGTGACAAGCCATTTTCAAATGGGATGGGCCCTAAAGGCCAGTTACTTGGGATTTGGGAACTGCTGCAGTGGAGCAAAGTGTGAGGTTGTGCTGGAGCCCCAGGCTTGGCTGGGACCCAGAGTGCAGTTTGTGATTTAGGAGCGGGAAGGGAAGCAAGGACCAGTTGGAGTTCTGGAGCCTGTGCAGCCTCACGCTGTGCTGCAGTAGGAGCAGGGTCTGCAGTGTTCCCTGGGACACAGCCCTCCCTTTCCTCCAGCCTGGTGGTCCTGTGCCTTGTGCAGGTGCTGCTCCTCCACATCCTGCATCCCTTGTGGCGGTGACCGGCTCCAGGCAGGACTCTGCCCCTCTCCACCACAGACTGCCCTGGAAGCAGCTCTTGCTCTCCATCACACAGTGCCCTAGAAGCAGCTTTTGCTCGGGGCACAGCTGCCTTGTCTCGGGAACAGCCTTTTGAAGAGCAGGAGTGACCCCATGGCACAGCTCGTGCTGCCGTGGCCGCGCCTGACAAGGCGAGGAGAACAGAGGCAGCCAAGGAAATCACTCCCGCTCTCTGACTGAGTGAAAAAACACCTGTAGGGCTGGAAACCCTTCCAGCGGGGGAGCAGCCACCTTCCCTTCCCCCTCCCCGGCTCGCAGTGTGCGCTCCAGAGATCAAAAGAGAGCCCTATCTCGGTGGAAACGGGGCCGCGCCGCTGTCAAACAGAGCAGAACGTTCTCGCGTCTAATATGGAAATGGGAGCGGTATCAGAGGCTGGGAGCGAGGGCTGTGCTGGCAGGTCACGGAGGAAGCTTTCTCCTCTCCCCAGGAGACAATTCCCCAAGTGAAACCCTCGCTCTCCCGCGGCAGCAGCGCGTCTGGAGATCTGCTCCCCCCCCCCTGTACCTCGAGAGGCGAAACAAAAACCGAGGAGGGAAAAACCGGGCAAAGAGTGTTTTTGGTTCCCCTTTGAGCCGCTGAAAAATAAATCTGGTAGGAGCCTCGTCGTTTGGGAAGGTTGGAAGCCGGGCTGGACGAAGTGCTGGAAAACACACGTAGGGAACAATATTGTGCTCGCCCCCTGGGGCGGGCGATGAGCTCATACGCTGCTCCCTCTGCCATTCTCTTTTCTTTGCTATTGTGGATCATTTAAAACAAAACAAAGTCTTGCTGCGTCTTTGGGTGATGAACTAGACCAGAACTGGAGCTGGACTGCAGCTGAGCAATTCACATCCAGCCTCTGTCAGTTTGTCCCTCTCCTTTGGAGGGGAACATCCATGTGTTGGTGGCTTTGGCAGCTGTCCAAATAGGCCAAATGAAGGAACAAGGTTTGGCCCCGTTCTTGCTAAAAACTTCACTGCCACCCCCCCAAACCCAGACTGCTGAGTGTGGTGGGAGTGGGCACAGGCCCCCCCCCTGCCCTGGCAAGAGAAGACCCTAAAGCTGCTGACCAAGACCTGGCCTTGAGTTTGCAGTGAGACGCATTTGCAGCAGGTTCCTCGAGCTTTGAGTGGGGTTGGATAAAGGGAACCTTGACCTGTCATGGGTTTGTAGCAAAGGAGAAGGGCTGGATAGGCTGGGTGCTCATGTTTTGTCTGGAATTGTTTGGAGAGGATGGACCTTAGGGAATCCTGTGGGAAGGTTGTGCAGCAGTGACACGTCCCTCAGGCTGCGTCCTCCAGGAGTTTCCCGTGGCTGTGCCATCAGCGGTGGCAGAGGTGGGCTCCCCTTGGCTCGGGTGAACAGGAGGGGGCTGGCAGAGAGCATGAGGGCCCAGCAGATGCTGCCTTGGCTCTGCCTTCCCCTGGCCCTGCCAGAGTCCATTTCACACCTGGCGGCTGGAGGAGATTTGGCGAGATCAGTCTCCCGCATTACCCCTGGTAATGACAAAAGCAGACAGCAAAGCTTCAGCAAAGCTGGAATTACTGCTGGCTGAGTCATGTGAAATCTTCCAAGTTTTAAGTGTGGAAATCCAGCCTTTCCCTGGGCTCCTCCTTCCTCTCAGCCTTCCCTTGCCACCCCCATTCTCCCTCCCCTCCTTGCACCTGAAATCTGCTCTGCGGCTGATCCGATAGAGTTTATGGTAATTAAGTGTTATTAAATCCCCTCCCCCCTCCCTTTTCCTCCTCTAATGACACAGCTGTGGGGGGAAAAAAAAAATCAGTGTTTTTCTAAATCAGGTCTGTGGCATGTGGCTTTGCTCCTTAGACCTTTGGTTAAGAGCATCAGAAGGGAACTGAAACCTTGTGCTTCTGCATCCCTGGGGGAGGTGGCAGGAGCGGTGAGAGAGCAGAGGAGGATGTGGGAATGTGGCCCCTGGGAGTGACTTGGAGGGAAGGGGACCTGGAAGGGATTTCTGCCCACCACTCCCCTGCTTCTACCAGGGGTGTCTTGCAGGTTTGGGTGCTGGAGGAGGGAGTGGGAGGGAGCAGGTATGGCTTGGCCGTTGTCCAGGGCAGCCTCTCATTTTGGGGTCTGGCTTCTAGGGGTGAGGCACACAGGGAACCCAGCTCCTCATCTCAGCCAGCCTGAAGCAGCCTCTGACCCTGTGATTGCACGGGAAGGCAGTGGTCCCTGAGGTGCAGATGAGTGTCAGTGGGGTAGAGATCCGTGGTTGGAGGTAGAGCCACAAATTGCTGTGCTGGGAGGCTGACCTGAGCTGGAGGGGACTGAGGTCATTTCCCTTCTGCAGAGGAAGAGTACCTTGGAAGCCAGTGATGCAACCTTTTTGTATTGAAACTTTGTATTGAAACTTATTATTTTTTAAAATAATAATAATAATAATATTTATTGTTGTTGCTGTTGTTGTTGTTATTGCTGCTGTTATTGTTGTTATTCCCTCCTATGTTTTGGGGAGAGAGTGGTTTCATTACAACATGCGAAGGTTTCATCCACCAAAATCTGAGCCCTGTGTGCTTGGCTGTGCCATGGGTTTGGTGTCAGACAGCACGTTCACCTCTCATTCTGTGCAAGGCAGAAGCGACCCAATCCCTGAGCTGCTGTGGCAGGGCCACGTTTTACAGCCTCTCTGTCTCTTGGGCTGTTTTTTGTCTGCCACAGACTTACATTTTCTGATAGGCAGCTTAGGGGCCTTTGTCTCACCTGGGAGAGACCCACAGCTCTTTTCCCAGCAGGATGGCCAGTGCCTGTGTGTTCCTCACAGTGGCCTGTGCTCAGAGCCACCACCTTGAACTTGGAGCCAGCCTGGCAGCAGAATCACCTGCCGTGGTCCCTGAGGGGACTCTGTCAGTGAAATGAAGGAGCACAAACCTGGGGCACACGGTGGGGTGGTCTTGTCACTCACTGAACACAGTGGTGGTCTTGTGACTGCAGCGTGGGGGGAGCCCGTCCCTCCCTCCCCCTCTGCCTGCTCAGATTGTTACTGGGAGTTCCTCTCTGAGTAATGAAAAGGCTTTGCCTGTGGGGAAGATCCGAGATAAAACAGTGTTAGAGCAGCCAAGGCGGGGAGAGTGGTAATTACTCTGATTTGTGCTTACAGTAAACAGAAAAGCCTCTGTGGTTTTCTCTCCCTGACTGCCAGACCGGGATCCCTCCTGCCCCAGGAGCAGGCAGGGCCTTCCTCAAAGCACCTCCCTCCTCCTGGGCTCTGCAGTCGTTCCGGGAAGATGGACAGGGAGGCATCCTGGGTGTGATTTTAATGGCCTCAGGGTGCTCAGCCACATGTACAGATGTGAAACAACCTGCTCCTGAGACTTCCCCCCCTGCCCCCAGAGCTGGGCAGGTGGATGTCATCACTGCCAGCATCACCTCCTGCACTGGGTGATGAGCATCTCTCACGTTTTTGTGTCCTCGTGGGTGTTTAGGAAGGTGGGGGGAAAGAGGTGCATGTCTGGCCAGGTACGAGCTGAAAAAAGAACTCATGTCCCCTGAGATGAAAGGGTGAGAACCCAGTGAACTCTTCCATCCTCCCTGTCTCCTCTGCCACGCTGGGGGTACAGAGCTTGCTGGCAATTTTGTGTTATTACCATGCAGGGCTTGGTGCTTTAGGAGGAAGAAGAAAATACAGCTGTTGAGTTTTTTGGGTGATGGGGGCTTGGGTGATGGGGGCTTTTCTGTGTGTAAGTGTAGCCATGTTTGGGGGTTTAGGAGGTTGTTAGGTTGACCCCATTAAAATGGTACATCTCGAGCACAAGGACAGCTGATTTGGCAGCTTGGTACATCAGGCTCAGTGGGGACACTAGAGAGTTGTGGGAATTTGTGCTAATATCCCTCTAACCCCCCTATCTCTTTCTTTTTGCCCTGTCCCTATACTTACGTGATTTTCCACTGTATTTTTCTCTGGAAAAAAAAACCAAAAAAGACCCAAATCTTTCTGCTCTTCAGAAAACTCCCACACGCCTCTGCTGGAGGACTCGGTGACTCAGATGACCCCGGAGGAGCACTACAGACGCATGATGTCAGCACTCAACGAGCATGGCACCTTTGAAGAGCAGCAGCAGCAACGTCTCTACCAGCTGGCCAACAGCATGGCAGTGCCCAGCCACGGAGGTACAGGATCTGCAGAGGGGAGGAGGGGCTCGTGGCGCCTTTCAGGATAACTCTGTAAAGGTTCCTAATCCCCCCTGTGTGCATCTAAGGGGGATTGATGGGCTGCAGTGCTGTCTGTTTATCATGCAGCGAATACAAGTGGTGCTAAAAAGTGTCCTAGAGACCCTTTTCTCTCACCATCTCCGTGGGGGCATCTCCCCTCAACCATCTGTAAGTGCCAGTTCCTTCTGTAGCTCTCTATGGGGATATGTTTTTCTTCACTGGAATAGATTCATTACAGTATCACTACTGTGTATTTTGCAGGGGTGGTGAGAGGGGTCCTTCCTTTGTTTCAAGAGTTTGTGTCAGTGTGAATGTTCAGAATCTCTGGTGTAAGGCTTTATTTGGGGTCACAGTGTGGAGCAAGGGGGATGAGCAAGTTGGGATAACACAGCAGGGGTGTGAGATGTAGGCAGTGGCAGACACTCCTGCCCTGTAGTAATGGAAATGGCAAGAGGATGTTGCTGCCTTCTCCTGGGGGCTGGAGTGGTGCCCGGAGGGGATAAGTGTCCTGCAGTGCTGGGACCTAAGAGGTGCAGTGTGAGTTGAAGGATTGCTGGTCTGTTTTCCCTGGGCTGTGGAAGGAGCCGGCTGGATCCAGCGTGTCCTGCGCTGTGCCTAAAGGGGGCACCAGGCAGTTACAGGATCTGCCCTGGATCCACTTGGCAGGATGCAGGATCCACGAGCGTTCCCTCCACGGGTTCCTCAGCCCACCTCACTTTCCCTCGGGTGAGCTGAAACTGCTGCCACTGGCTCAGCCTCACCCTGAGCAAAGCCATGCCTTGTACCGAGTCCCGTGCTGCAGGAGCCAGGGGTGGGGGAAGTAACTCAGCTCTCTGGATCAGGCAAAGCCAGGGAGATGGAAGAGGTGATGCTGCTCCAGTCGTGGAAGCAGAGGGTTGGAGCATCACTGAAAAGCAGGGCTGTGCAAGGATCTGTCCCTCTGCTGCTTCCTGCCCGAGGTGTGGAGGGCTCACACGGGGAGCCGGGGGAGGAGCACAAGCAGCATCAGCAAAGCATCCAGCAAGAGCTGGAGGAGAATCTCTGGTCTCTGAGTGTAAATCCCCAGGGCTCCTTGTTAGGTTAATGAAGAGGCTGTCTTCTTTTCCACTCTGTTTGATTTGATTGGCTTCTCTGGGGGCAGGAAGGCGATTCCCTTCGCTGTGGAGTAAGGATTTGCTTATCAGCAAAGGCACGGCACAAACCTGTGCTGAGGCACGACCCGGTGAACATGGCACATGCTCTGTGTGTGGTGTTGAGCTGTCCCGGGCATTTTCAGAGCTGCAGGGCTCCTGCAAACACAGGGATACAGGGCCATAGGGCTGAAGTTTCACATGTACATGTGATGAACACGGAGGAGAGGACAGCGTGTAACACTGTGCACAAAAGGGTGACACACTCCTATGCCCAGGTTGAATATTTAACCAAGTAATTCAGATCTAGACCACGTGGAATACACATGTAGACCATGCTGAATACAACAGAGCAAATACACAGCTCAAAATGTGTTGTGTGTACGAGTGTTGTGACCGACAGTCACGACAGACCACCCAGCCTGGCACTGGATGGCTGCTGGACTCATGGACGTGTCCATCCCACCAGCATGTGCTGCAGAACTTCTCTCCCTTATAACAAGCAGAGTAGCTCATTACATTAAGAGCCTGACGTGTTTTTATGATTATGATTAAATTGTCTCAGCAGCATTTGTTAGGTGAGGGGGTCACCCTGGGGTTTTGGGTGGGCAGGGGGAGAAGAGGCGCCTGCATGGACAGACTCCCTCCTGGAATACTGACAAGACAAAACTTGGTGTATTTTTGGGTTGTCTCCAACACCACAGGGCCCTGGTTGGGCTATAAATTATTAGTGCCAGTACAAAGCGCAGTTTATCTGCGGGCTCACATGGAGGCACCAATAACATTAATAATTTAAAAAATGTTAATAATTTAGAAATCTTTTTTTTTTTTTTTTAGATTGCTTTTTCAGCCCCCCTCCCCGTCCCTCCAGCACCCCCCTCCCTCCTCCCGCCCCCGTCCCCAGGTGCATTCATCCCACATTCTGAATTCAGTCGGTTCTCCGTGCTGAACCTCCATCACGCCAGCGTCCCACTGTACAATCAATTCTGATTTCCCAACTGTCAGATCAGGATTTGTAAATAACAGATCCTGGGGAGAAGGGGAGGGGTCTGAGCAAGGGGGTAGGGGCGCAGGGGAGGGGAGGAGGGGGGAGAAAGCAGCGAGGAGAGGGGTGGGTGTGCAGGGGGTTGTTGCGGTCATTCAGGATCAATGCAGCTCCTGGAACTGGCTGCACGCCAGACTTCTAAATTACAGGCGCTGTGGCGATGAGGAGTGACCTGGGTTTTTCAGATAATTAATTTATAAACGTTTCGAGGTGCACGGCCCCTGGCTCGGCGAATTCTCTGGGCCTTTTTACGTGATCCGGTGGGGTTTGGTGTTCCTTACATACCCCTGGCAGCTCAGAAGCGTCATTTTTAAGGTTTGTCCCCTCAGCTGGGGGTGTGGGGACAGGGACTGTGCGTGTGTGAGTGTGGCTGGAAATTCAGGCACCGGTGCCCTCCTTGCTGCCAGCAAAACCAGCAGCTGTGTAAGTGTTTCCACCCCACCACGGGGCTTCAGCCCTGACCGTCACCAAAATGTTGGATGATGTGACTGAGGAAGCTCAGGCTGGGCTAATAGGGATGTGGGTATCTGGGATTTCCAGAACTGAAGGAAAACAGCATGGTGGTATAAAGGAAGGCAAGGAAATTGGAAGTCCATCATCACCAGGGTCGTGCATTGTTCTTATAGTAACCTGGCTTTACAAATCCATCGTGGGAAGAGGATGGACGTGTGGAGGGCTTTGCAATCTCAGTGTGCAAGCTGATCCTGCCCAGGGTGTGTTCACTGAGATAAATCTCCCTCTCCTCCTCTCCCCAGCTGTGTTTTGGTTTCCTTTTGCAGCCTGGTGCTCAGTGAGCACGTGAGGGAGGTCTCCTCCAACTGTGCTCTTGTTTCTTGTGTGCCATGTGAATGGCAGCAGAGGTTTTGGTGTGGGATGTAAGTTGTGTATGGAGTGTTTTCATATAGATACAGGGCCTAAGGGGCTCCTAATGCTTAACTGGGAGAGAGGAGCACTCTGGAAAAGCCTCTGTCAGTGCGACTGGTATGGGTGTCCATGTCACAAGTCCTTGTTGTTCCCTGAGCAGCAGCACATCAGCTGTACCTGCATCACCTGCTCCTCCCTGGGGCTCTCTGTGATCCCCTTTAGTGGTGCTTGAGGTGATTGTGGCTGTGCCTGCACTGTCCATCACACAGCCCCTGTGTGGGCAACTTGTCTGTGCTGACACCCGCCCTGGAGAGACTGTACAGGTGTATAACCTGTCACTGCACACGTGTCACAGGTAGGGTGACACAGGTCACAGGTTCTGCAGTGGTACCAGGGCAGCACAGGTTTAATGAGGGGTGCATTTCTGACCTGCAGCTGATGTCTGATGGAAGTGTTGTGCTTAAGGCTGGGAGGGGCCCCTCCTGTACCCCATCCTCCTCTGCTCTGTGACCAGGCCCTTCCCATTCCTACAGCAGAGCTGTGCCAGGCAGGTACAGACCCTGCAGGGCCAGCCCTCACCCCTTGCCCAGGTGAGGCCACAGCATCCCCCAGGATGTGGGTGGCTGACTGAGGGGGGGCACCATGCTTGGGAGAACAGCCCTGGGTGCTCAGACCGCTGCCAGGCCATCCCTGGGAGCAGGGGTGGGGGTTCCCCGGGCAGGTGAACGACGGGACTCAGGTGTGGATTTAAG